CGATTGGCTCCGCCTGAGGGGGCGGGGCCTAGGCTGACGTCACAGAGCTGGGCTTGTGTCCTGAGCGAGGTCTCGGGCTTCCCGCTGGGTCAACCGTGACCCCTTCCTCCGCCTGGGCCTGTGTGCCCCCGTCGGAGAGGGTCACTTGGCAAAATCCGATCCTGCACTTGCTTTATGTTGGTCAAAAATGGTAAACTAATATGCCCAGAGGAAAGGCCGGGGCGGGGCCTAGGCTGACGTCACAGAGCTGGGCTTGTGTCCTGAGCGAGGTCTCGGGCTTCCCGCTGGGTCAACCGTGACCCCTTCCTCCGCCTGGGCCTGTGTGCCCCCGTCGGAGAGGGTCACTTGGCAAAATCCGATCCTGCACTTGCTTTATGTTGGTCAAAAATGGTAAACTAATATGCCCAGAGGAAAGGCCACATGAGGACAGAGCAAGAAGGTGGTCATCTGCAAGCCAAGGAGAAAGGCCTCAGGAGGAACCAACCCTGGTGACATCTTTTTTTTTCTCTGGAGCATCAAGTTTATTAGGAAACTTGAGAGAGCTAAATACTTTAATAAGAACCCCTACAAACATAGGAGCAAAGGAGAGCAGGGCAGGGAGAATGGCCCCAGGAAAAACAGTTCCAGTCTCTGAAGTTTTCATTCAGGTGGGAGCCGTGGGGCGGACTCATAGGGAGGACAGCTTCTCCTCTTGACCCCCCCAGGGGGCTCCAGGCAGTCTTCCAAGCTCAAGGTATTTTGGATAAGATGCTTCTGAAGGCCATGGATGCGGGATACCGTCCTGATGTGAATGCCATGCAGAGAATGCCTCGGCAGTTAGCACACCTCCATGGTCGCTCCAGAAATACAGCGTGTATTTCTTGCTTTGCTGCTTACATCCAGCTTCTGTCTCATCTCCTACACCACATGGCCTGTCTCTGGAGCTCAGCATCTTTAAAGTTCGACATTTAAAATGCAGAAAGTACTGCTTGATTGCCCCAGCATCTTTGGCTGGTCATGCTTTGGCTGTCCACTATTGTAAAAAATTATATTGACTTCACTCTTGTCCTTTTGAGATGCTGCTTGTCAGTGGACAACTTATAGCATAAGAACCTTAAGAAAAACCTAAGAACCTCCAAGCCCACCCCCTGTGGGCCCTGGCCGTGGCCAGAGGAAGAGGCTGGAGTCTATCATCTTGCTGCCCAGCTTGAAGCCAGTTTTCATTGGTTGTCTCCTCTGGGGCTCCACCAATGCTGCTGCTGCTGTGGGTGGTGGGGGAGCCCCCAGGGTCACGTTGGAGGATTGGGCTCAGGGTGGCAATCCTTGATTCCAGGCTGCATAGGGAGATTGTGTGGTCCTTCCTTTGGGACTGGCTAGGGAATGGAATTCTCCCTTCCACCCTGGCTGGGTAAATGGTCATCCTTTCTTCTAGTCTGGGGGAATGGCCATCCTCGCTTGCATGCTGCCTGGGGGAGTGGTGGTCCTCCCAGACTTCCTGGGGGAGTGGGCATCATTGACTCTGGGCTGAGTGGTGGAGTTCCAGGGCCTCGGCCATTCTGCCCTGAAGTCTGAAACCCCTGTGCTGGGGAAAGACTAATGTTGGGGTCTGGGGAGGCTCAGGGCCTTCCCCTGATCTTGGGGTTTTCATGCTATCTAGTATTAGATAAGTGCCCATGATGTTGTTATATATTCTTCCTGTGAGTGATTCCTGTATCTCATGCTATTCATATCCCATGTTCTTCATTATTTGGACTACTTTTGGGTCTAAGTCACCACAGGGTGGTTCAAAGTATGGCCTCAGTTTCTCTGACTGGCCAATGTTGACCCAGTGGTCCTTCATTATGTCTTTCATTGTTGATCTTTGGCTGAGGTTGAGAGTTATTAAGTTCTGTAAAAGTCTTTGACATTTCAGAGACAGGAAGTATGGTATAAAGAAGTGCCCACTCAAGATCTTCCTAACTTCTTCAAAATTTCCCCCCACAAATGGAAGTTCCTGTCACCATCCTGTAGAGTGCTACCTCCATGCTCCAGATGTCCATCTTCGGGCACTCATAGGTTTCGAGCTGCAAGATCTCTGGGGCCATATAGGAGATGGTGCCACAGAATGTACTGTTTCTCTTCTGTAAGTTCCCCACTGAAGCCAAAGTTTGCTAATTTAACACTTATCTCACCATCTAGAAAAATGTTCTCCGGCTTCAGATCCTGAAGTACTATGTGTCTCTGATGGCAATACTGGGCCACTGATAATAATTGCTGGAACATGGCTTAGACTTTCTTCTCTATCATGGGGCCACAGTTCTCTAAATAGTCAAATAAGATTCCTTCACTAGCGTGTTCCATGAAAATATAGACTTTGCCCTGATGGTAATGACCTCAAACAACTTTGTAATGTTGGGATGATTTAATCTCTTAAGAGAATGGATCTCTTGAAGAACATCAGAGGAACCCTGCCAGGTGACAACTTTTACAGCCACCTCTGTGCTGGTGACAGTGTGACAGATCAGCCTAACCTCTCCAAAGGATCCCTTGCCAAAGGTGTTGAGGATGAGGTAGTTGCCAATATGGCACTCCTCATTGGCAGAGATGGCTACAAAGTCATCAGACATGATGACTTAAAGAAATAAAAAAATATTCTCTGAGATCTGTACTCACTAAAGTGGATCAGTGATGAAAATAGAAAAAAAAAGAGGAGGAGGATGAGTAGAAGAAGAGGAGGAGGAGAAAATAAAATAAAAAAATGAAATATAAAAAAAATTTAAGTAAAAAAAATAAAGATGAAAAAAACAACAACAAAACACAACTATGAGAAAACAAGCCAACTAGTCCAACTCCAACAAGTCACCACCAATCAGCTTCCTGGGCTCTAATGGACTAAAACCTCAGCTCAGCCAGGACCTTAAAGGAGTGGTTTGTATTTCCATCACAATGGTACCTTATGAGGTCAAAGAAAGAATGTACCACTCATGGCTGGGGATAAACCATAGTGGTTTTCTCACTTTTTGGTCTCATGACCCTTATTTTCTGAGGGAAAAATGAAAGAACCCCCAAAGAGCGTTTTGTTTATGTGGGATATTCAATATTGACATTTACTTTTACTAGAAATGAAAATCTGTAAGATGCAGACAAAAATCAACAGTCTGACTTATTCTCATGCTCCGGGTCTCAGTTCAAATATCACCTGCTTAGAGAGGGCTTCCTACCTACCTCACCCAGTCCATCACTTTTGTCATCTTCATAGCACTGACCACAGTGTGGTTGATTCTTGTTTACTGTCTGTCCTTCCCATGAATTGAAGAGCATGACTGTAGGGGTCCCTGTGTCTAGCACAGTGCGTGGCAACAAAATGTTTAATCAAATTTGTTCACTGGATTAATGTAAGAGTTTGGGGGAGCAAAAGAAAATATGGCCAACTGTTTATTTAATCATAGAGATTCCTAAAACATCTTAAAAACAGTCATGTTCTATCCTCACTCAGTTTTGGGGGCAGGTAAAATAAAGAGGAGGGTTGAAGTCTGGGTTTCCAGGTATGTGGGTTGGTGAGGCTGAAGAAAGTCTAACTGGTAGGAGCCTTGCTGTAAAGATTAAAGAAGATGATTCATCTTTCCAGTGGTGCTTGCTAAGGATGCAGTAAATTTGGATCTTCAATGAAGCTGTAAGGTATTTTTACACTTTGAATATCCATTTCCAGATGACACAAAGGACTTCTCAGGTGACCCTGAGTAGGCCATTTAGGTGAATTTTTGTGTTACTTAAATGAATCATCTCTTTTAACCTTGCAACTCAGGGATTAGTTAACAATATCCAATATGGTCCAATCCAGTGAAACTAGAGGGTGTCCTTTTGGAGATGTCTTTCTTTTTTTAAAGTATATTTTTATTGATTTCAGAGAGGGAAGGAGAGGGAGAGAGAGAAACATCAGTGATGAGAGGGAACTGCTGATTGGCTGCCTTCTGGATGCCCCTTACTGGGGATCGAGCCCACAACCCGGGTATATGCCCTTGACCAGAATCGAACCTGGGACCCTTCAGTCCGCAGGCTGACACTCTATCCACTGAGCCAAACCGGATGGGCGGATGGGGCTGGAGATGTCTTTTTGATGGACCATGTGTCCAGGTTTACACCACGATGTTTGGTGTCTTCATCTCCCAGGAGTGTGCTGTGGCTGGATTCTCTACAAGCTTGAATAAGTTTCTTTCTACCAGTCTCTAAAGCTCATTGTCTCGCTATAAAACCCAGGGTCCTGGTGATATCTTGGTCTTGGACTTCCAGCCTTTACAATGGTGAGAAAATAAATTTATGTTAAGAAAAAAAGAAAGATAAACTATCCAAGTGTCCAATGGGACAGCTCAAAGAAAATGTGGGGCTGCGTATTTATCCAGAGGACTTTTATCAGCAATTAACATTTTATTAGGCTATTTGATGTCAGGAGAAAGTGTTCAATAATGATGTAAGTGAAAAATTAGCTTCTGAAGAAATGCCTCTAGTATCCCAGGGAAGTATTTTTTTTTCTTTTTTTTTTTTAATTTATTTTTTTAT